ACTTTTGGACTCCTTGTGTGGATATGCATAAGTATTGGAAGGAACTCAATATACAAAATATAGGTACAACTCTCACATAAAGTTTTCAACCAATGTTATTTTGCCAGAAGGCTTATAATAATCAATTGACTGGTTGTGTGATTAATACTTTACACCAAGGCAGTCTAAAATACATTTTAAAGGGAAGGATGTGGGACAAATAGCCATCCAGAACAGCAACAGTTTACTGCTATCTGTACTTATTTCTTTACAGAGTCAACGCTACTTTGAAATGCTGTGCTGAAAAACAAAGGCAAACTGTATTTAAAATGAAGTTTGATCAAAATTATAAAGTAGCTTACCTTGGCAACAGCTTTGCCTTCACAATTGTTATGGGAATCTTTAATACCATTGAGTGAATCTCTTCGCTGTGAGCATGGCTTCTTCTTACGTGGTCTGCCTTTAAGATTTGGCGCTGAAAACAAACACACAACAATTTCAGCACAATCTCTGACTGAAAGGGATAACAAACCTCAATGGTTGAGTGGTCCTCTGAAACCAAGCCTATGAAAAGAGAGAACATCTTCCCTGCAGTAAATAATGTTGTCATCCCTAGTAGCTCTTCTATTTCTAGGTCACACATTTTGACGTTATATTCCCATCCAGCACTCAAAACTCATATATTGCTATTTCCATCTAACAAGGATCTAAGAGAATACTGAGAAAGCAGTTTTTTTTTCAGTTGCTAAACAAATACTAAAAATAGTAGGTTGCTAACATTACACATACACAAACACACAGATACCATTCTGAACACAATGTGAGCATAAAATGGGATCCTTTCTTCCGGCCACTTCCTCAAAGTATAAAGTATTTGGTTAGGCAACACTGACTTGCGTCAAAGATGTTCTATGTTGCAAAAGCCATCCTTACTAGATATCACATGGAGGAAAGCAACTGATGGCTACTTTTGTACTGTATAGTCCATGATTTAAGACATAAACAAATCCAAACAAAACCCTCACATTACAAAACAGATGTGGTGAAGGCAAGGCAATCCTTCATAGGGTTTTTGTTTTGCGAACAAGCTCAGAGACCACACACTAAAAATCAAGCTCTCTGTGGCAAAATAGTGTATGTGGGTCATCCGAGGAAAACTCAAACTTAGCTGTCATTTTAGAGCAACATGAAACACAGCAGTGCTGACTGTGAGAAATCTATGAAGTCGCTGTCTTTTACTCGGTGTCAGAAATGACTTCTCTGTTCTCAGCCAAAGAAAACCACAACCATATAAAAATGATAAATAATCCTTAAGTTGTGGCTCTTGTACAGACAACTTGCTGTGAAGTAAGTGAACAAGTACCCATGGTTGTCATTACTGTGGGGACCAATAATAATAATAATAATAATAATAATAATAATAATAATAATAATAATAACAAATAGTAGTAGTAGTAGTACTGGGTATCCTAAAAGTCACCATATATAGGGAAAATGGGAAATATGTACCTTTATTTACAAAATATTCATTGCAATGTAAACATTCTCTCTCTCTCTCTCTCTCTCTCTATATATATATATATATAGTAAAAGTATATAGTGTGATATAGTTTTTTAAATATTGTGTTCTTTAAATACGTTACAATTGTACCCTCCGTTCACTTCTGATACGATATATATATATATATACACATATAGTATGTGAGTTTGTTAATTATCCCTATGTATGGAGATTTTTGGGACACTGCTGTTTAAATAATAATAATAATAATAATAATAATAATAATAATAATAATAATTTGATGCAAGAGCTCTACCAACACCACACATAACAATTACTATTGTTATGCGTCCCAAAAGTCTTCATACATAGGGATAATTAACAAACTCAAATACATACTATATATCTTTCTCTATCTCTCTATCTATCTATCTATCTATCTATCTATCTATCTATCTATCTATCTATTTCTCATCTCTACATTTATATGCCGCCCTTCTCACTTCACTTTATTTCTTAATTAGTCGCTCTCCACCAAGGTGCTCTGAGTGACTTACAATCTAAAATAGCATTTACATAATATTTAAAGAACACAATGTTTAAAAAACTATATCACACTATATACTATAGGGAAAATGGGAAATTTTAGCTCAATGTACCATTATTTACAAAAGATATATTATATCTATAGCTAGACACATATATACATATATAYACATATATATGTACACACACATACACACACACATATAATAAAATAAAATATAAATATTTTATAAATATAAATACAAATATATTAAAATGAGTTCATTAGTCTCCCCTATGTATGGAGACTTTTGGGAGACCCTGAAGGAGTAGTAGTAGTAGTAGTAATATGATGCCAGAGCTCTACAAACACCACACATAGTAACAGTAATAGTAGTGGTACAGGGTGTGCAGGGAAAATGGGAAATTGTAGCTCAATGTACTTTTATTTAGAAAACACACACACTTATATATACACATACAGACATGTACACATAAAATAAAATATATTATAAATATAAACATGAATATATTAATATAAAATGAGTTTGTTAGTTTCCCCAATATATGGAGACTTTCGGGACACCCTGCAGGAGTAATAGTAGTAGTAGTAGTAATAGTAATAATAATATGATGCCAGAGCTCTACAAACACCACACATAATAACAGTAATAGTCATGCTACAGGGTGTCCCAAAAGTCTCCATGCACAGGGAAAATGGGATAGTGTAGCTCAGTGTCCTTTTATTTACAAAATATTCATCACACTATAATAATCTATATAAATAAAAATGCTCTGTGCATAATGAGTACCTTAAAAACAAAAGGACCAAAGAACGAAATCACACCAAATTTGACAACAAAACATCTCACAGCACAAGGAGTGACCATCACTCAAAAATTATGATTTGTCATTTGGGAGCTGTAATTGCTGGGATTTATAGTTCACCTATCATCAAAGAGCATTCTGAACTCCACCAATTATGGTATTGAACCAAACGTGGCACATAGGTGTCYCCTGACCAACAGAAAACACTAGAAGGGCTTGGTGGGCATTGACCTTGAGTGTGGGAGTTGTAGTTGACCTACATCCAGAGAGCACTGTGGACTCAAACAATAATGGATCTGGACCAAACTTGGCACAAATATTCCATATGCCCAAATATGAACACAGATGAAGTTKGGGGGAAATAGACCTTGACATTTGGGATTTGTAGTTACTGGGATTTATAGTTCACTTACAATCAAAGAGAATTCTGAATCCCACTAATGACAGAATTGGGGCAAATTTCCTACACAGAACTCCCATGACCAACAGAAAATACTTAAGGCCATTCAGTTCAACTCTCTTCACTAGGGCAAGAAAATGTAATTAGAGCCCTCCTGACAAAGAGCCATCCAGCCATAGATATAGATAGGTATGATTCACACACATAGAGATATAGCACTATAGATTTGAAAGGGACTTCTAAAGAAGGACTATGATATGTTGCATATTCCAGAGTAGGCAAACCAGACAATCTCCACATCAACACTGACAAAGAAACAACAAGAAATACTGAAAATGAACAAAATCTGGCTACCAGTATTAAAAAAAAACTCTAAAATTGCAACAGCACAACAACAGAGAGGAAGCAGGCAGGGACATCTAATACCTCTCAACAAAAGTTTGCCCCAGGCGCAGTCAGGCCATTGTATGCTAATCAGTTGAAACATTCACACCTAGCTCCAGCAGACAAGAGTCCTTTGTCTCACCCTGGTCATTCCACAGATATATAAACCCTTTTTCCTAGTTCCAACAGACCTCACTACCTCTGAGGATGCTTGCCATAGATGCAGGCGAAACGTCAGGAGAAAATACCTCTAGAACATGGCCATATAGCCCGAAAAACCTACAACAACCCAATAGGCCTTGACATTTGGGATTTGTAGTTATTTGGATTTATAGTTCACTTACAATCAAAGAGAATTCTGAATCCCATTAATGGGGCAAATTTCCCACACAGAATCCCCATGACCAACAGAAAATACTTAAGGCCATCCAGTCCAACTCTCTTCACCAGGGCAAGAAAATGTAATTAGAGCCCTCCTGACAAAGAGCCATCCAGTCATAAATATAGATAGATACATATGATTCTCTCTCTCACACACACACAGACATTTGGGAGTTGTAGTTACTAGGATGTATAGTTCACCTACAATCAAAGACAATTCCGAACCCCACCAACGATGGAATTGGGCCGAATATCCCAAACAGAACCCTCATGACCAACAGAAAATACTGTGTTTTCTGGTGGTCTTTGGTGACCCTTCTGACACCCCTGGTGACCTCCCCCCCCCCCAGGGGGCCTTGACTTCCCAGGTTGAGAAATGCTGCCTTAAGGCCATCCAGTCCAACTCCCTTCACCAGGGCAAGAAAACATAATCAAAGCCCTCCTGACAAAGGGCCATCCAGCCATTCACACACACACATATATGTATATGACAGATGCAGTATCAAAGATTTGAAAGGGACCCCTAAAGAAGGACAATGATATGTTGCATGTTCCAGAGTAGGCAAACCAGACAATCTCCACATCAACACTGGCAAAGAAACAGCAAGAAATACTATTTATCCACAAACATAAAGACATTACATATATTAGAAACCAACACTTTCTCATTACTTTATTTTCCAGATCACCAGACTGAGCCACAGCAACACGTGGCAGGGGACGGCTAGTAAAATATAAATAGAAAATATGAGTTTGCTAGTTTCCCCTGTGTATGGAGATTTTTGGGGCACCCTGCAGCAGTAGTGATGATGATGATGATGATGCCAGAGCTCTCCAAACACCACAAAACCTCTGGGCCGCCTTGGAATGGTTTCCTAGTCTTCCATTGGCCACACAAGCGATTTCAGGACATGTTAATTAGGCGGCGATCATTGGATCATTCCGTACAGTGGCCCTTATCTCTCATGCCTGTAAGGTAATGCTCAAGATCCTGCAAGGAAGACTCCAGCAATACATGGAGCGAGAGTTGCCAGATGTTCAAGCTGGGTTTAGAAAAGGCAGAGGAACGAGAGACCAGATTGCCAATATCCGCTGGATAATGGAGAAAGGCAGGGAGTTTCAGAAAAACATCTACTTCTGCTTCATTGACTATTCTAAAGCCTTTGACTGTGTGGATCATAATAAATTGTGGCAAGTTCTTGGTGAGATGGGCATCCCAAGCCACCTTGTCTCTCTCCTGAGGAATCTGTACAAGGACCAAGTCGCAACAGTAAGAACTGACCACGGAACAACAGACTGGTTCAAGATTGGGAAAGGCGTACGGCAAGGCTGCATACTCTCACCCAACCTTTTTAACTTGTATGCAGAACACATCATGAGATGTGCGGGGCTTGATGAATGCAAAGCTGGGGTGAAAATTGCTGGAAGAAACATTAACAACCTCAGATATGCAGAT